TCTGTGTTTTCAGAAGATCATTTACCAGTTGTCTGCCCATATGTAGATGTAGAGCAGCAGACGTCAGATACACATACACTGCTCGATAAATAAAAAATGCAATCATAGCTACTGAATAGACCAACAAAACATTACTCGGCCATGTCTTTTCTTTCTTTCTTCAAAATCAAATAAGAAACACTAGCTCAGGGCTCAGCAACCTACACATTCAGTCTGGTGGGATCTAAGGGCTATCCAGGCCAGCAGCTTTTACTCTTGATTCACAAAATCTCAAATACTCTGAGCTCTTCTGTACGACAGATCTGTGATCTTGTAGCTCTGCCATCTCACCTGCTGGTTTAACTCTCATAGGTCTGTGTCTGATCTTGTAGCTCTGCCATCTCACCTGCTGGTTTAACTCTCATAGATCTGTGTCTGATCTTGTAGCTCTGCCATCTCACCTGCTGGTTTAACTCTCATAGGTCTGTGTCTGATCTTGTAGCTCCGTCATCTCACCTGCTGGTTTAACTCTCATAGGTCTGTGTCTGATCTTGTAGCTCCGCCATCTCACCTGCTGGTTTAACTCTCATAGGTCTGGCAAATTGACTCGACATATTTTACACTTGCCTGTCAAATGACATCTTGGTCTGAGTTGATGAAACAGCAGGAAATCCTGATCTATTTCTTTGTTTTTATTTTATAAGTGTCAATCAGTGTTTGTGATTTTAATTATTGAGGAAGTGTTATATAATATTTTAAGAACATTGTTCATCACATTGGCACATTAGGTATAAAGGCAGCAGACCCATAATCTTATAAAACAAAGGGCACCTGATAGATAGATAGATAGGTGATGTGGTCACATCTTAGTAACATCCTTCACTGACGAGGACATTTCCTAGGACCCATTTAGTCTGGGTCAGTCCGCAGACCTTAGGTCATCCTGGGGACCCTGTCAGTGATAACAATCACTGTTCCCATGTGTCTTTGAACCTAAGAGCTTCAGGCTAGCAGGCAAGCATTTCCTCACTGTTCTACCCTAGCTGGTGAGAAAAGTACGTTAAAGCTTCTGGAGACACTGCACTGAAACCCTGGAGGTCGTGTTAACAGTCAATTGTTGCAGGGTGGAATCAATCAGTTCCTTGTTACTGGATGTTTCCAAACAACTTTCCACAGAACTGTGTGCAAGAAACTGTCTGCAGAGAGCCTATCATGGAGAAGATACACCAACACATGTCTCTCTTACAGACCAACGGAAGACAGGTGGTACTGCAGGTGCATCTGGCATTGATCTGTGTGGGGAGTCTATTTGTGACAGGTTAGACTTGAAAGCTGAAGCTTCACTGCAGCTTCACCAGGGGGAAGTTGTTCTCGAGTATGGGTTGACATCAAAACATGGATGTGGTCCTGGAGGCATTGTCCTTGCAGAAGATGCGGCTGCTAGCTTGGGAGAGGCGGACTTCAGGTCCCGATCACTGTCTGTGGCATCAACATCAGATGAGTATGAAAGTTGCTGTGAAGATGTAACTTCTCAATGTCAAGAAGAGGATGATGAAAACTCTGATAGCAGTTTCACTGAGAACTCATTTGAGTCTCATATACAGCATCAAAAGCAGGACGAAACCAATTATGATACATCCACTTTGCTTTTCTCTGATACATGTGTAAATTCATCAATGGATGTTTCAAGTATGTTTGAGACATCCAGCACAGAAACATCGACCGTTGATTCAGATAGCATGTACTTGGACTTATTCTGTGACACAGACAACACCAGTGCAGGAACATCAAACAGCTCAGTCAGCAGTGGCACCCAGTCTTCATTGAGTTCAGCTTCTACTATTGTGACATCTTCTGAGTCACTAAGTGATGATTCTTCCTGGATAACTGACATTTCATCCAGCAGTTCTGGCTCATTAATCCAAACTGCAACAGACCTGTATTCTTTTCAACGTGGACACAACTCTTCGGATACATCCAGTGATCTTTCCACTGGGACAGGTGCTTGTAAACAGAAAGAGGATGGAACATCTTCGGTTTTTACTCAGAGGAGAGACTTAAGAGAGGGTGCACATGCTCCAGAAAAGTTGTGTTGGGATATTATTGGTGATCTGGGAGGAGAATATAGATGTAGAAAGATCCTATGGGATATCTATAGATCAGGGACTGTTGGTATTCACACAACAGCAATAGACCATGCAAACGTAAGGAAAATGGATACAAACACTGTTCTAGACAAACCAGAGACTGTTCCAGATACCACAGGGACTGTCCTAGACATGCCAGGGACTGTTCTAGATACCACAGAGACTTTCCTAGACATACCAGGGACTGTTCCAGATACCACAGGGACTGTCCTAGACATGCCAGGGACTGTTCCAGATACCACAGGGCCTGTCCTAGATATGCCAGGGACTGTTCTAGACATGCCAGGGACTGTTCTAGACATGACAGGGACTGTCCTAGACATACCAGGGACTGTTCCAGATACCACAGGGACTGTCCTAGACATATCAGGGACTGTTCCAGATACCACAGGGACTATCCTAGACATACCAGGGACTGTTCCAGATACCACAGGGACTGTTCCAGATACCACAGGGACTATCCTAGACATACCAGGGACTGTTCCAGATACCACAGGGCCTGTCCTAGACATGCCAGGGACTGTTCTAGACATGCCAGGGACTGTTCTAGACATGACAGGGACTGTCCTAGACATACCAGGGACTGTTCTAGATACCACAGGGACTGTTCCAGATACCACAGGGACTATCCTAGACATACCAGGGACTGTTCTAGATACCACAGGGACTGTTCCAGATACCACAGGGACTATCCTAGACATACCAGGGACTGTTCCAGATACCACAGGGACTGTCCTAGACATACCAGGGACTGTTCTAGATACCACAGGGACTATCCTAGACATACCAGGGACTGTTCCAGATACCACAGGGACTGTTCTAGACATGCCAGGCACTGTTCTAGATACCACAGGGACTATCCTAGACATACCAGGGACTGTTCCAGATACCACAGGGACTGTCCTAGACATACCAGGGACTGTTCCAGATACCACAGGGACTGTTCTAGACATACCAGGGACTGTTCCAGATACCACAGGGACTGTCCTAGATATACCAGGGACTGTTCCAGATACCACAGGGACTGTTCTAGACATACCAGGGACTGTTCCAGATACCACAGGGACTGTCCTAGACATACCAGGGACAGTTCCAGATACCACAGGGACTATCCTAGACATACCAAAGACTGTTCCAGATACCACAGGGACTATCCTAGACATACCAGGGACTGCCCTAGACATACCAGGGACTGTACCAGATACCACAGGGACTATCCTAGATATACCAGGGACTATTCTAGATACCACAGGTACTGTCCTAGACATACCAGCGACTATCTTAGACATACATGGGGCTGTTCCAGATACCACAGGGACTGTCCTAGACATACCAGCGACTGTTCCAGATATACCAGGGACTATTCTAGATACCACAGGAACTATCCTAGACATACCAGGGACTGTTCTAGATACCACAGGGACTGTCCTAGACATACCAGGGACTGTTCGAGAAATACCAGGGATTGTTCCAGATACCACAGGGACTATCCTAGACATACCAGGGACTGTTCCAGATACCGCAGGGACTGTCCTAGACATATCAGGGACTGTTCCAGATACCACAGGGACTATCCTAGACATACCAGGGACTGTTCTAGATACCACAGGGACTGTCCTAGACATACCAGGGACTGTCCAAGACATACCAGGGACTGTCCTAAATACCACAGGGACTATCCTAGACATACCAGGGACTGTTCCAGATACCACAGGGACTGTTCTAGACATACCAGGGACTGTTCCAGATACCACAGGGACTGTCCTAGACATACCAGGGACAGTTCCAGATACCACAGGGACTATCCTAGACATACCAGGGACTGCCCTAGACATAACAGGGACTGTACCAGATACCACAGGGACTATCCTAGATATACCAGGGACTATTCTAGATACCACAGAGACTGTCCTAGACATACCAGGGACTATCCTAGACATACAAGGGGCTGTTCCAGATACCACAGGGACTGTCCTAGACATACCAGCGACTGTTCCAGATATACCAGGGACTATTCTAGATACCACAGGGACTGTCCTAGACATACCATGGACTGTACTAGACATGTCAGGAACTGTTCTAGACACGCCAGGGACCGTTTTAGACATGTCAGGGACCTTTCTAGACATGCCAGGGACTGTTCTAGACATGCCAGGTACTGTTTTAGACACACCAGGGAATGTTCTAGACATGCTGGGGACCATTGTAGACATGCCAGTGACTGTTTTTGACAAGTCAGGGACTGTTCCAGATACCCCAGGGATCGTTCAAGACACCCCAGGGGTTGTTATAGAAAACCTAGGGTCTGTTGTAGACACCCCAGTGGCTGTTGTAGACATATCAGGGACTGCTGTATATATATCAGGATCTGTTCTAGACTCAACAGGGACTGTTGTAGACATACCATTGACTGTTCTGGACATGCCAGGGACCCTTGTAGACACGCCAGGGGACCTTGTAGACATGCTAGGGACCCTTGTAGACATGCCAGGGGACCTTGTAGACATGCCAGGGACTGTTCTAGACATGCCAGATATTGTTCTAGACATGTCAGATATTGTTCTAGACATGCCAGGGACTGTTATAGACATATCAGATATTGTTCTAGACATGCCAGGGACTGCTCTAGACATGTCAGATATTGTTCTAGACATGCCCGGGACTGTTCTAGACACCCCAGAGAAGCTAGACATAACAGTCACAGTTCTACACAAGCCAGGGACTGTTCCAGATATGCCAAGGACTGTTCTAGATATGCCAGAGACTGTTCTAGATAACCCAAAGGTAATACATGGAACAGAAATGAATTTTATCTCTTCGGAAAAAGACATCACAGAAACTGGTCATGGAAGAACAGATATTTGTCCCACCACTGAGACTGTTGAAGATATTCCCACAATTGTTAATGGAAGAGAAATAGATAGCAGTTGTCAGAGTGAGCTACCAGCTGGAAATAGTTGCCAGACATCTTTGCTCTCTGACCCAGAAGAGTTGCATTCAGGAATTTCAGGTGCAGCAACAGTTTTCCAGGGATCAGTAACTGATAATGATGACTGGTCTGGGGAAGTGTCAGCAAAAACTGTGCCAGATCTCACACAGACAGTTGATGAAATAGACGTAGATAGGCCAATCTTGACTGAAGCAGATAGATGTGAAAGACAGACAGATATTGTAGAGGTGCCATCTGTTGTTTATGCAGAAGATAGAGATGAGATTGTGTGTGGAGGTGAACTACCAAGAGTAGGTCTTGACAAAACACATGGGATGTGTGGCATGAGTGACAGCAATCAGGCACATGTCTCAGTTGATGTCAGTGACACACCTGTCCTGCCAGCAGATCATTGTCACGAAGGTCTTGGGTCGGGATGTCACTGCCAGATGACACAACAACCTAACATTTCATGTGATAACATTTCCACTAGCAGCTGTGAGAGTTCATCCTGCAGGTTCCCCACCTTCATCACTGTTACTTGTGGTGCAGTAGCTAGCACTGGATGCCTACATGTTGTCAACACAATTGATGATCATAAGAAAGCTGTCAGACTCAAGGATGAGATCATTCAAGGGAACTGTAGACTGCAATCTTCTAGCAACATGGTAGCTCCTGAAGACAAGAGTGGGGTTTGTAGAGGAGTCAGTGACACCAGAACCTCTGTGGGTGATGTGGGTTGTAGACGAGAGGCAGTAGATTCTGTCATCTGTGGGTGTCAGCTGACAGAAGATGAAGTGTGTGGTATTTGTCCTGACGCTAGGGTCAGTGATGAGGGGTGTGGTGATCAGGCAGTCACTGCTGCTGTCTTTGGGGGCGAAGTGATTGAAACTGTCTGCCCAGATGCAAGGATCAGTGTTGAGCCCATTAATGCTGCTGTCTTTGGGTGCAAAGTGGTAAATGAATTGCATAGCATCTACCCTGATGCTAAGATCAATAATATGGCCTGTGGTGATGTGGCACTTGATGCTGCTGATTATGGATGTGAACTGACAGAAAGTGAAGAGTGTAGCATCTGCCCTGATGGGAGAATCAGTGATGTAGGATGCAGTAATGCCTCACTTATTGTCTGTGCACCTGACCTGGAAACAAATGAAATGTATCTTGGGGAAAGGCTGGATGCAGTAACAACACCACAAGAGGCCATCACTACTAGTGACAGGGGTTGCTATCCTGCATCATTTGCTTTGTGTGAGCATGGCTTACTTCCTTTGTTTGAGTTTATCAGCAATAACCAATTTTTTTCTACGTTTGGTGCATGCTTTGATTTATAATTGAGTTCTGCTGGTTACAAACCTGTAGACACCCTCAGTTCTCATCCATTTAACACTTGATGAACTAGCCACGTGATTGTTCCTGACTTGAAGTGACATTTTGGACTGACATAACTGAGAACTGAAACTGTCCTGTTATTTACAGTTCTTCAGACTTGCATTATGTATACACACTCACAGGTTCACACATTCACACACTCACAGGTTCATATACTCACACACTCATACATTAACACACTCACAGGTTCTTACATTCACACACTCACAGGTTCACACATTCACACACTCAGAGGTTCATACATTAACACACTCACAGGTTCATACATTAACACACTCACAGGTTCATACATTAACACACTCACAGGTTCTTACATTCACACACTCAGGTTCACACATTCACACTCACAGGTTCACACATTCACACACTCACAGGTTCATACATTCACACACTCACAGGTTCACACATTCACACACTCACAGGTTCACACATTCACACACTCACAGGTTCACACATTCACACACTCACAGGTTCACACATTCACACACTCACAGGTTCATTCATTAACACACTCACATGTTCATACATTCACACACTCACAGGTTCATACATTTACACACACACAGGTTCATAAATTAACACACTCACAGGTTCATACATTAACACACTCACAGGTTCATACAATAACACACTCACAGGTTCATACAGTCACGCACTCACAGGTTCCTACAGTCACGCACTCACAGGTTCATACAGTCACGCACTCACAGGTTCATACATTCACACACTCACAGGTTCACACACTCACAGGTTCATACATTAACACACTCACAGAGGACACATCTGCTTCTTAACAGGGGGGGGGGGGGGGGGTAACCCATGCGCCTCTTAACAAGGGAGGGGGGAGGGCATAACCCATCTGCCTCTCAACAGGGGGGGGGGGAAGGGAGCAACCCATCTGCCTCTCAACAAGGGGGGGGGGGAGGGGTAACCCATCTGCCTCTTAACATGGGGGGCGGGGACCGATCTGCCTCTTAAAAAAAAAGGGGGGGGGGGTGGGGACCCATCTGTCTCTTAAAAAAAGGGGGGGGGGGCGTGGATACCCATCTGTCTCTTAAAGGGGGGGGGGGGGGCCCATCTGTCTCTTAAAAGGGGGGGGGGGGTGGAGACCCATCTGCCTCTTAACAAGCATGACGTGAAGGGTGACTAATTGAGGATTTGCTGAAAATGGATGTATTCGGTCAAGAGTTGCACACCTTAGCTGTAAACCACAACACAGTTTACCAGCGGCCTTTTGAAGGGTGAACCCGCAAGAAGAAGAATGCATGAGTTGTCTGTCAGATTAGGATCTGAACAATTTGAGTGTGTGCTCTTGCCCACTTGCCTGTACAGTTCAACTTGCATGTATTGTTTACATTGCCTGTACAGTTTACATTGCCTGTACAGTTTACATTGCCTCTACAGTTTAACTTGCATGTACTGTTTACCTTGCCTGTACAGTTTAACTTGCATGTACTGTTTACCTTGACTGTACAGTTTAACTTGCATGTACTGTTTACCTTGCCTGTACAGTTTACATTGCCTGTACAGTTTAACTTGCATGTACTGTTTACATTGCCTGTACAGTTTACATTGCCTGTACAGTTTACATTGCCTGTACAGTTTACATTGCCTGTACAGTTTACATTGCCTGTACAGTTTACATTGCCTGTACAGTTTACATTGCCTGTACAGTTTACATTGCCTGTACAGTTTAACTTGCATGTATTGTTTACATTGCCTGTACAGTTTACATTGCCTGTACAGTTTAACTTGCATGTACTGTTTACCTTGCCTGTACAGTTTAACTTGCATGTACTGTTTACCTTGCCTGTACAGTTTAACTTGCATGTACTGTTTACCTTGCCTGTACAGTTTACATTGCCTGTACAGTTTAACTTGCATGTACTGTTTACCTTGCCTGTACAGTTTACATTGCCTGTACAGTTTACATTGCCTGTACAGTTTACATTGCCTGTACAGTTTACATTGCCTGTACAGTTTACACTTGCCTGTACAGTTTACCTTGCCTGTACAGTTTAACTTGCATGTACTGTTTACCTTGCCTGTACAGTTTACTTGCCTGTACAGTTTACATTGCCTGTACAGTTTAACTTGCATGTACTGTTTACCTTGCCTGTACAGTTTACATTGCCTGTACAGTTTAACTTGCATGTACTGTTTACCTTGCCTGTACAGTTTAACTTACATGTACAGGTTAACTTGTGTGTACAGTTTAACATGAATGTATAGTTTAACTAACTTTCTTGACTGCGATTGATTGTTTGCACTTCTTGGTAAGTTTATGGATTTAAAAAAAAATGAATTTTGTGCTCCCCCCCCCCCCCCCCCCCCCCCCCCCCCCCCCCCCCCAATATTGTCATAAGGCAACTGATATTCTGTGATGATGTAAACAAAAAGTTCATGTTGTTTTGCTTATTTTTTTTCTCACTGCAAATGTTCTCTATCCCTAGAAAATAGGCTTTATCAAATAACAGTTTTTCACTCTGACATTTGAGACTAAACTCATTGTTCGTAAATGGTAGTATGTCTTGAAACAGTCCATTACAGACGTTTTGTAAAGAATACAATGAGAAGAGAATTACTGAAAGAAATTAAAAAGAGATAGTGAAATTACTTAGGCCATATTAAAAATCATAACATGCTTTTAAAAACTGTACCAGAGAGATTCAAAGGCAAGAGATCAAGAGGTAGGCAATGATACAAATGGGAGGACGATATCGAGAGATGGACAAACAGCAGAGAGTGTACAACCATGACAAAAGACAGGGCATGTTGGAAATCCATTGCAGTGAACCTTCACTGTGGAGATGACTCCTGATGAATTGATTGGGTGTCCATGGATACCTGGGTTTATTCAAGGCATATGACATTTAACCTTACCTCCAAGAAGATTAAATCTACTCACTTCTGATGTGACACAATCACTTCTGGTGTGACACAGTTGCTTCTTGTGAGACGCAGTCCCCTAATTGTCGATATATTGCCATATCTGTAGTGAATTGTTCTTGGAAAGCATAGTTAAATTCTATTGTGTTCTATGTGCACCTGTGTAATGTCTGATAAGATGGGATATTAATGTACGAGGCTCATTTTTTAAGTGTGTCCCATTTTGACCACAGCAGCAAACACCGATGGAAAACGTAAATGTGCATATGCATTATATTTATGTGGTTCATTAGCTAGCTGTGTACTATTTGTTCACTGTGGAACTCTTGTCTGATGCTGCCTGTGAGTGATTTATAATGAGCGGAACAATAAATACTCCCGCCAGCTGCGAGGTTTGTGCTATGTTCCATTTTTTTTTAAAGCAAAAAACAACGGTGCTGCAGAAATTCACAGGCAGCCCATTGAGGTTTATGGGCCAAATGTTGTGACTGATAGTATGGTTAGGAAATGGTGTCGAGTGTTTAAAGAAGGGCGAACAAATATCCATGTTGAAGATCGTAACAGTCGACCGAGGGTAGAGACAGATGATTTAGTCGAAGATGTGAACCAAAATATTCAGGAAAATCACCGTTTCACAACTCTTGCGTTGTTGTCAAATTTTCAGACGTTTCACGTTTACTGATTTACATATTGTGACAAGAAACCTTGGATAAAAATAATAATTGTGTGCCATCCAAAGCAAAAGCCGTGGTTTACTGTCTTCTAGAATGGTGCTTTTGCACAAAAATGTCAACCTCACGTCGCGTCAGTTGTTTAAAAAATGTCACTTGTAAATTGTTGACCCGCCCTACAGCCCTGATTCACATGCACCTCAAGAACTGGCTGGCGTCCCAGCGGTTTGAAACTGATGATCAACAGCAGACGGGTGTCACTGAATGGTTCAAGACACTGGCCGCTGACTTCTATGACTTTAGAATTAAGAACCTGGTGCCACGATAACAGAAGTGTGTTGAAATCAATGTTGACTATGTTGAGAAATAATGTAAATGTGTGGTTCAATTTGGCTGCAATAATCAATTTTATATATATGTTTAAAAAAAATTTTTTTTAAACACTAGGACTTACTTAAAAAACTCGCCTCGTAGTTACTAAAAATAATATGCGGGAATGGGTGTTCCTATAGCTTTCGTAAAGTGAAGTTGATGTCAGATTTTCTTCATTTTATTAATTTGTGTAACCCGGGAATTTTTTCAAGTTCATAACCCATTTCTTTTGGCATTAATAAGGTGAATGAGTTAAGACTAGAGGATGTATGCAAGAGGAAGGAAGGAAGAGAGAAGAAAAAAAGGAAGTGGAGATTGACTTTGTGATGTCCTTGTGTGGGCTCCAGGGACTCATTGTTAGCGTGTTGTGAGATGGTGAAATAGACGTTACTCAGCGTGTTGTGAGATGGTGAAATAGATGTTACTCATTGTTAGCGTGTTGTGAGATGGTGAAATAGATGTTACTCATTATTTCCCATCCTTTTTAGGATGACATTTTTCATTATTTGAAGCCCCACCCTGGCTCTTGCCAGGGGCCGCAATATAGCCAGGCCATAAATATGGCCAATTAGCTGAATGCGGTTTCTGGGACCTCTCCATGGTGATCCTCGTCCACATGGTGGCGCATTGTGTCATTGGGTGTTTATCGCTTGTGTGATGTCCTGGTGGGGTAGAAAGTCAGTCAGTCGATGGATGTGCAGGCAACAAGTTCTGGAACACGACAAAAGTCCAGAAGTTGACCAACAACTAGAACTCCCAGCAGGAGTGCACAGCTGGTGAATGTGAAGAAGAAAGAGAAGACGACTTTGTGATGCAAGGAAAGACAGTGTACATTGTACAATATTGTCAAGTCATGAGCTTTAGTAAACATGTATGTGGCCTTATAACATAACTTGACATTCGCAGATTACGTTGATTCCTGTATTGTGTCTAAAATGTGCATACATTTTGTTTTTCCTGAACAGATGAAGCTGATAGAGAACATGAATC